ATTCTATTCTTCTGTGTCTTTTGATTGGTGCATTCAGTCCATTTACATTTAGGGTGATTATTGAAAGATATGTACTTATTGCCATTGTAGGCTTTAAGTTAGTATTTATCAAAGGTTCAAGGTTAGCTTCTTTACTATCTTACTGTCTAACTTAACTCGTTTATTGAGCTATTATAAACACAGTCTGATGATTATTTCTTTCCCTTCTTTTTCCTCCTCCTCCATTCTTCATATGTTGGGTGTTTTGTTCTGTGCTCTTTTTAGGAGTGCTCCCATCTAGAGCAGTCCCTCTAAAATACCCTGTAGAGGTGGCTTGTGGGAGGCAAATTCCCTCAACTTTTGCCTGTCTGGGAATTGTTTAATCCCTCCTTCATATTTAAATGATAGTCGTGCTGGATACAGTATCCTTGGTTCAAGGCCCTTCTGTTTCATTGCATTAAATATATCATGCCATTCTCTTCTGGCCTATAAGGTTTCTGTTGAGAAGTCTGATGAAAGCCTGACGGGTTTTCCTTTGTAGGTGACCTTTTTTCTCTCTCCGGCTGCCTTTAATACTCTGTCCTTGTCCTCAATCTTTGCCATTTTAATTATTATGTGTCTTGGTGTTGTCCTCTTTGGGTCCCTTCTGTTGGGAGTTCTGTGTGCCTCTGTAGTCTTAGCAACTATTTCTTCCCCCAGTTTGGGGAAGTTCTCAGCAATTATTTCTTCAAAGACACTTTCTATCCCTTTTTTTCTCTCTTCTTCCTCTGGTACCCTTATAATCCAGATATTTTTCCTTTTGGATTGGTCACACAGTTCTGTTAATATTGTTTCATTCCTGGAGATCCTTTTATCTCTCTCTGCATCAGCTTCTATGGGTTCCTGTTCTCTGGTTTCTATTCCATCAATATCCTCTTGCATCTTATCCATTTTGCTTATAAATCCTTGCAGTTTGTTTCACTTCTGTAATCTCCCTCCGGACGTTTGTAATCTCCCTCCAGACTTCATCCCTTAGCTCTTGCATATTTCTCTGTAGCTCTGTGATAGCGGTGGCTGTAGGCTGGTTGCAGGTGTGTCAGCTGGGAGAAGAAAGTCCTTTCCTGCTTGCTGGATGCCTTGCCCTTCTCTGCTGCCTGTGATGGTTACCCGCACTCCTGGAGCAGCCACTGGGTTAGTCCCGTAAGCTGCTGTGGGCGGGGTCTCCATCAGAGCAGCGCGGAGCCCTGAAGGGGAGTGGCAGGCATGCCAGGTGCGCTCCTCTGTGCTAGCGGCGCCCCTGTCGGGAAGCTCTGTGCCAGCAGTGGCCTTTGGGTCTGGCCCAGGCAGCTGTACCTTGGGCTGGGATTCCAGTTGGCTGCTGGGAGCGCGCCTGCTCCCTCTGCCTCCACTGCAGGTGCGCACAGGCATCTACCGGGCTCCTCTGGCTCCACTGCCGCCAGTGCATGCAAGCTGCAGCACCCAGTCTGTTCGGTTGCGCCGCTGCGGGCTCACACAAGCCTCTCTTGGTCTCTTCTGGTGTCGTTGGCGCATGGATCTGTTCCCGGTCCCTTCTGGCACCACCATCCCTGGCACGCGCTGCCACTCTCCCGCTACTGGGCCGCTGTGTCAGGGTCCGTGCCAGTTGGAGGAACAACTGGCAGGCTGCTTAGTGCCATGAGGGGCTTCAGAGCTGCACTGCCTCTCTAGGGTTTAGGGTGCCTAAGTTTCCCCGGGATTCCCAGCTGCTGGCTAATTGTGACAGGACAACTTCGTCTAGCTATGGGGTCCCTGTCTCTTTAAGACTTGCAGAAAGCACTCGCTTTTCTTTTGTCTCAGGGGTGCCAGTTGTGGAGAACTGCCCACAGGTTTTGCTTTTCTGTCTCTCTCATATCCAGCACCCCATACACCTTGTGTCTGGGTTCTGGGTGCGGATTTCTAGAGCTGGCTGTTTAGCAGTCCTGGGCTTTCACTCCCTCCCCATTCCAACTCCTTTCTTCCCACTGGGTTTTGGGGTGGGGGAGCATTCAGGTCCAGCCTGGCCGCGGCTCGTATCTTACCCCCTTCATGTGATGTTGAGTTCTCACAGATATAGATGTATCCTGGCTGTTGTACTGCATCCACTGGTGTCTTAGGAATAGTTGTATTAATTGTATTTCAATAAATAGTTGTATTTATTGTTTTTGGGGAGGAGATTTCCCCTGAACTACTCACGCCACCATCTTCCCGTGATCCCCCATGAAGATTGAATGAGATATATTATCAGTGAACAAGTAGCAGACTTTGACTCCTGAGAGCAGGGCCGAGGCGGGTAGCCACCAGCCCTGGCAGAAGGGCTTCTTTGAGGGCAGAGTGAAGAGTCATATGCTGCCTTTTTAGTAATTATGTGATGCTGGGCAAATTTTCTAACTTTGAACTTCCATTTCTCCTCAATGATATAAGAATATGACCATCTATACCCTTATAGAATGGTTCTGAGGAATAAATAAGATAATGTATGTGGATGCTGTTATATAGCTTAACTCATGGAAAATGACCAATAAATAATTGTCCCATTCCCTCCCCTTCAATCCACCTACCAAAACATGAGTAAATCCAAATTATGTTTTGTAGTCAAGGAGCAACTTAGAAGTAAATTTCTTACTCACTTAAACAAGGGAATTAATAGAGATAACTCAGCAGAGTAAAGGTCCAAAATGGACTGTTCATCACCCATCCAGTTATCTCATACTACAGGTAGCAACCTATAAACAACTAGGCATTTTATGATGTTAACGTATAAAGAAGGCTCAGATTCTTTGAGAATCATGAACAGGTTAAAAATATCTGTGAATTGACCAGCTTACTCTTCTTATATTAAGGGTTTATCCCAAGTAGCTATATATTCAAGGAATAAGGCACAGCCTTCATCAGGCAGGAAACTATGACTGAGTGCTTTTATGGCCAAATTTAACTCTACTTTGTGATAAGCTTGTTTTAAGTGGCACAAGTAGGATTCACTAATGGAAATCTTGCTCTAAATGCTACATGTAAGAGGCAAAATGTTTACTATTACTAGTTGGGATTTTTAATTCATCTGCTCTGTACTTGAGGTAACAAATTAGCTACAGAATATGCAGATAGCCCCTATTCAAATGTAAAAGGAAGGGAAAGGACATCAATGTGCTGAATAATACAGTGCTAAACCTAAGAATCTAGACATTCCTCATCTCAAAAGCTCTTCACAGCACATAGAAGAATTAGAACTCTATCAAAAGTCACTAAAAAATACCCTTAAATGATGAATCATTTTAAAAAGAGAAAAGTTTACTATATTTAAATTAACTTTAAAAATATCTTCGATATACAAAATCAGTATTTAACCCTTTAAGATTCATCTGATATATAACTAACTCCATTAAAGGGCTATAATCATTGACACAGTCCAAACATAATACATGAACAACTGTCAGAATTGCTGAAAAGACATGCATTAACTACCACAATACATACTAATTTTGTACCCCAAACTGTATATTCAGTGCGTGACATAGACAAGTGACCTATTAGTTTCGTTTTCTGCTTAACAGTAGCAACTCAAGAAAAAAATGAGATGTATCAAAAGACTTAATATATATAGGACCATGTTATGCTTCATTTGCTCACCTAAAAATCATTTTTTTCCTGTCAGGTAATGTACTAGATAGATGACCTTTTGCAAAGCCAATTAACCTTTCTAAGGCTCAGGTTCTTCTTGTTAAGTAATGATAACAATACTCTTCCAGGACTGACAAATAAGCACATAAGTACTTAGCATAGTGCCTGGACACAGTAAATGCTAGTTATAGATAACAATAGTTCAAGTCAAACAAAATGAGTTACTTGAATTACAAGGTGCTGAGGGACAAAACTTGATAGTTACTGGTATTTCAGGAGCAAAGGAGTTAAAGGAAGTAGTTAACAGTGGCAGTAGTGGAAGTAGTTAATCAGTTTTTTTATTTGAATATTCTAGTGCTGATCACTGAAAATAGGGAAGAAAAAGAGACAAGAGACTGGAGAAAGCATTTTTAACTTTGATGCGTAAAAGAGAGGGAACAGAATGGAATAGTAAATATTTAGATAGCTGTTATGAAGAAAAAAGGAGGGAGCTGAGCTAAAACGTGTACAATACTTTTAATCAGTTGAAGACTCAGCTGAAATTTTTTATTTACCTGTAGACAGTGCCAATGTACATTTGTTCGTGTGATTTTTCTCCTGCAGCACTCAGCTGACCCAGGCTGTCAACTGACTGAATTTAAGAAGATTACAGAGATTTTTTACTATATGCACTATAAAGTGAGTAACTGTAAGTGAAGTACAGAATGAATTCTCCCAAGTAAACAAAAAGTGGAATGTGTAAGTGTAACTGAATGATGTAAGCTTCTATTGTTCTTAAGCAGCTGACTAGAGTTTTGCAAATACTAATGTGTTGCTGGACCACATTGTTTAGATGGATAGTATATCACAGTAGGACTAGAAGCAAAGAAGGGAGGGATTAAAGAAAAAATATTTCAAAGAGATATTATTAGCCAATCTGATATATATTTTAAAAATTTAAAAATCACTTACCCATTTTGGAAAGAACTATTTTGTGTCTCTGAATCATCACTATCACTGATGATGATAGTTTCTCCATCTATACTGCTGACATGTCCATTAGCAAAACCATTTTGATGTGATGGAGGGAGGACTTCTAAAATCCTACATTGTAACCTAAAGGAAAATGATATATTTAAAAAAATGTAAATTATGTGATATTTTATAATCAAACATTTCAGAACAATCTAATTATTTTTAACACCTGAAAAGCTATTTTGTTCTGTAGAAACTATGGCTGATTAATGCAATCAATTTAATAAAAAAGAAAATCTGTAAAATCCTATTTAAGCAAAGGTTAGTTATAATTTAAAACAATACAAGACTATTTTAAAGGTCAACTTATCAAGATTCTTAGCAATTACATTCTTAGCTGAAGTTACGATTTAGAAAATCAAATACTGGCATAATAGGTATTATACAGATTGAGACTTACAGTTTTTCAAAGCATCCAATATTTTAAATTCTGAAACTCTCCTGACCATAATCTTCTTTATTTTTACTGTAACTTTTTTGTGATTTCTGGTCTCTGAAAAGCTTTCCTATTCACTAACTTTGTTACCTTTGTTTTGTCTTTTTTACCTTTGCTTACTCTATCTGGATTGTATGGACTGTAATTTCAGACTCATTCATCACAAACCGAAATTCCTATTCACTACAATTTCTCAATCCCATTTTCACTCTGCCAATTTTCAACTGATAAATAATTAAAATGTGGTATATCCACACTCTGAAATACTGTTATTCTAGCAAAAAATTATTCAGCAAAAAGCAGGAATGAAGTACTGACCTGGGGTATAGTATGAACCTTGAAAACATTATGCTAAGTGAACGAAACCAGATGTAAATGTCCACATAGTATGATTCCATTTATGTGAAATATTCAGAATAGGTAAGTCCATAAAGATGGAAAGCAGATGAGTGGTTGCCAGGAACTTGGGGGTGAGGATAGGGGAGAAGAAGCAATGGGAGGTGGCTGCTAATGGGCACTGGGTTTCTCTTTGGGGTTTTAGAACTAATGTTCTAAAATTAGTTTGTAATGATGGTTGTATAACTCTATGAATATATTAAAAACCACTGAGCTGTACATTTTAAATGGGTGAATTTTGTGGCATGTGAAATATATCTCAAGTTGTTAAAAAAAGACAGAGTCACAAGTAAAAGCAGGGTACAGTAGGGCTTAAAAAGAGAGTGAGAGTGAGCATTGCTAGAATTTTATCTATGGCACCTCCACAACTCTTAGGCAATCCAGGGGAAGGTTTTATCTCGTAAGCATATATATTCCTACCAGTGGGGTAAATCCCTTTCTCTGAGAAAAAGTGGTTCAATATTAGGCAGTTTTCTCACTGTATCATTCGTTTTGTCATTCCATACCATAAATGTCTATCTGAAGCCCCATTCTCCCAGGACCTTCATTCTCCCTATATGCTACCTTCTTTCACATGGGTACTAGTAGAGCTGTAATGTTTCTATAAGTCCCTGGCTTATAGTTAATACCAACCTGGGTTCCTTTGGCGGGACCAATACATCTTTTCTAAGATTTTAAGATTTGTAATCTAGAAAGTAAAAATCAGTCCCTCCCTCATCAAGGAATCTGTAAGATATAAAATTCTGGTGCTGTCGGTGACATGTTTCCTGCCATGTGAGCAGGCCATTGTGCAGTGAGAGAAGATAAAGCCTACAAGAGAGAAGGGAGGAGAAATGTAAGATTGTATATCAATGATACTTCAATTAAAAAAAAAAAGAGAGAAGGGAGGAGAGAGATGGCAAGGATACTAGAGGTAATCAGCTCTCTTACTCCTGTTTTTCCTCAGACTTAGCTGCACTCTGCCCATTTCAGGTTTTCTGTTTAGTCTCTCCTTTATTCCAATAAACTGATAATTTACTCTTTTGCCCATGTTTTTCAAAATGAATTTTATCATTTATAGCCAAAATAAACAGAATCATACAATCCAGAGAGACAAACAGCATATTTAGAGGTGACTGATTTTGGGAAGCTGGTGGATTTTTACAAGATAATAGCACTTATTTTCTCTTGTGTACATTTTAGCATACACTTAATATTCTCCTGCAGGAGAACATCTTTGGTATCCTCTATAAATACAATACAAATATTCCTCTACAAACGCTAATACTGCTATTAGGCACATAGAAAATCAGGACCATAGATTTCCTGCTAAAAACTCTGCATCATACCTAAACAGAAGAAAGCAGCTGCTTCCACAATATCCCAAGGTTTAAGAATCAGGAAAATGTAGACTATGTGGGGGTGAATCCAGCACTCAAACCATCTTCCTTTTACTCATTTCCTCTCACTTAGAGACTCATACAGGTTCAATTAAAAGTAACATATATGGTCCCTTTATAATTTGTTCTTAAAAATGAATTGAGGAAAAAGAAGACTCAAATTATTAAAGGGAGAAGTGAAAATGGGGACACTACTAGTAATTTTACAGAAATAAAAAAGATTGTAAGAAAATATTATGGACAATTGTATGCTGACAAACTGGACAGCCTAGATGAAATGGATAAATGATTAAACAAACTATCAAAACTGACTCAAAAAGAAATAGAAAATCTAACAGAACTATAATTAGCAATGAGATTGAATCAGTAATCAAAAACCTCCTGACAAAGAAAACTCCAGGACAAGATGCTTTGCTGGTGAATTCCATCAAGCATTTAAAAAATAGCAAATTCTACTCAAAATCTTCCAAAATATTGAAGAAGGGAAAACACTTTTCAACTCAATCTATAAGGCCATTATTACCCTGAAACACAACCCAAAGACATGACAGAATATATAAAAAAAACTCTTATAACTCAACGAAAAACAATTTAAAAAATGGGCAAAGGACCTGAAGAGTTCTCAAGAAAAGACACAAGTGGAAAAAGTACATGAAAAGATGGTCAATATTACTAGTCATAAGAGAAATGAAAAATTCAAAACTGCAATGATATACTACTTTATATTCACTAAAATAGTTATTAAAAAAATAAAAAATGGAAAATAACAAGTGTTGGTGAGAATATAGAGAAATTGTAACTCTCATATTGTTGGTGGGAATGTAAGACGGTGCATCTACTGTCAAAAACAATATAGCAGTTCCTAAACAAAAATAAATAAATATAATTGTCATATGACTCAACAGTCCCACTTCTAGGTATATATCCAAAGAATTGGAAAAAGAAACTCAACAGGTACTTGTACACCAATGTTCATAATGGCATTATTCATAATAGCCAAAACATGGCATATAAAATACAATGGAATATTATTTAGCCATAAAAGGGGATGAAATTCTAATATATGCTGCAACAGGGATAAACCCTGAAAACATGCTCAATGAAATAAGCCAAACACAAGAGACAAATACTGTATCAATCTACTTAGATGAAGTATATAGAATAGGTAAATTCATAGAGAGAGAAAGTAGAATAACCAGGGGCTGGAAGGAGGGAGAAATGGGGAGTTATTACCTAATGGATACAGAGTTTCCGTTTGGGATGATGAAAAGCTTCCTGAAATAGTAGTGATGGTTACACAACACTGTGACTGTACTTAATGCCACTGAATGGTATACTTAAAAAGGATTATAATGGTAAAATTTATATTATGTTTATTTTACCACAACTAAAACAAACAAACGAACAATCTTTTTCTGTTCCATCCAGCTTAAGAAGGCTCAATTACCAACTGGTATAAATTGGTAGCAAACGGAAACAGTGCCAAAAGTCCTGCAGGGTGACTTACACCACTGGCTGAAAGAAATAAACCAATGCTTCTAAAGAGGAACAACTACAGGAAATCTATCAAAACTTGTTTGGTTGATGGTAGTCTGATGGTAAAAAGGTTCCATAATTTAGGGATGTGAACAAATACACTCAAGGAATCAAACACATCAACTTTTGAAAGCTGTGGGTATCACATCCAGGGTTCATACTGCTCAGGGTTCCAGATTCTCGATGAACCTATGACAAGGTTGTTCAAGTTAGAAAAAGTTTTCATTGGCAGAGCCCAAATGAGTGTCTCTAACTGGTGATGATGATGGTGGTTAAAAGAAAAGTAAATGGGCAGATTAAAGATAGTGGTGTGAGAGGTGAGGCAAAAACCTCCTCCCAAAACCACATACAATATGAAAATATAGTTACTACAACTAATCCTGAGAGAGCAACAGGAAAGAAGGCTGTGCCAGACTGCATACACCTGGAGGAAACAACAGACCTCATGGAACAGGGTGGTGTACCAATGCTGTGATCTGGTGGGACCCAAGCCCTTCCCCAACCCCAGCTCACTGGCGGGAAGAAGAGAAATGGAGCAGAGGAGAGGGTGGAAGCCTAGGACTTCTGAACACCCAGCCTTGGAAGTCTGCTCTGGGAGCACAAACCTACATTACATGGTGCTCTGGAGATTACTGGGGTTGGAAAGCTAAGACAGGCAGAATACTTGGAGAGACTGAGATTCTAGCCGCTTGTAGAACACAGGGATCCACATCCAGCCTTCCTGGGACAAAAGAAAGGCAGGCAGTCTGAGAGACTTCCTAACAGTGAGAAGGCTGCTAAAGGGGCAAAGATTGAACAGAGCTTACTGCTCAGGAGAAAGGACAGGTGGACAAAATTGTCCCAGCACACTCTGCCTAATAGATTGGGAACTTTCAGGAGCTTCAGGTGCTCCATTCCCCTAGTGGCCTTTGCAGCTACGAGGACTCCCCCATCATGATACACAGCCTGCTGCACCAGCTTGCAAACTGGCTGTCCCTGCCCTTGCGCCAGGCCAGCCAGAGAGAGAGAGACCCTGCCTATAGCAGCTACAAGTGCAAAGCATAAAGGCTTGTATCTTTGCATTTGGCCCACTGGCCCTGGCAGTGGAGACAGGCACAGCAGCTGGGAAGTGGGAAACAGCTCTTTCCTTCTGACAGGCACCAGTGCTGCTCCCCTGCAACCCCTGCCATCCCTCCAGGGGCTGAGCAGTTCCCTCCAGAGAGTAGAGCTCTGGGCACTAGAGGGCACCACATACAAATATGAAACGTCAGAGGAACCTGGTTCAAACTAACATCCCACAAACACCAGAAAGAGGGTCAAGTGAAAGTGAACTCATCAATCTTCCTGAAAGAGAT